AAAGTTTATGGGGGGGAAAGGCCATTTGTAATTCCATAAAACCTGTACTTTGGAAATTTATATTCATTAAATAAAAGTTAAAAAAAAAGAGACACTGTGAATAGATGACTCAACAGAGCTTGGAAGCTGACTATGTGAGGAAGTCAGCAGAGTGTACTTGCACAGTTTCAGCATCCATAAAATGGGGGCAATTCTCACACCCCAGAGCTTTTAGGAACATCTAGCAAAAGGATGGAGAGACTTCTAGTAAGTAGAAGTTTCTACTCTATTATCATTGAAGTTGCCTGTGAACTTTCTCCGGTGTTCCCTAAGTAATGGTCCTCCTGATTTGGCTCTCAGAGCTGCTAGCTTTGGGTATGAAGAAGATGTATTACAATGACCTTTTCAGAGAGCAACTGAAGGGGTTGGCTGTGTTTTCTCAGTGATTCAGTGGAAACTTTAGAGTTACCTCCAGAGATGTGTATCTGGACTAAATACTGCAGGGCACTTTCACATCTGTACTTACTGAGCTAGATTTTTTCCCCTTTTATCTAATTCAATTCCCCCCATCAAATTACAGACTTGTTTTTGCTTTTAGAGCAGAAAGGAAGGATGGGAAGACACACTCCAAATATTTAGTTAGTTTCAGAAGTGTGTGTTGTTCAAAGCACCGTTAAGTACTAGGTTTCTTAAAATAAGAAACTCTATCACCTTGCTCTGCTGTGTTCCCTCTGGCAGGAGTCTCCACACTAAGCATGCACTGGAAGTGCAGAACGCTCAGCTATTTTCAGGGAAAGAAAAACAGAGAGCCTGAGAGCAGAATTCTAGGCTCAGTGTCCCTCAAGCTGGGATGACTGCTCTGGGCTTCCCCTTCTGCATGAATGAAATGAGAGGGTTAGACATGATGTCTCTGTGCTCTTGTTTTGTAGGATGCCATAATGCTGGTCACAAACTCCTTGTGAGGTCGGTGGGGCAGTTCATGAGGACTATTCTGCAGCCTTGGAAATGAAAACTCAAAGAGGTGAGTGATTGGCTGAACTGAATGTGATTCCCACCGATGAGAACAGAACCAGTGTCTCTTAGCTGATTTTTAATGCCTAACAATGTCTTTGGGAAGTGGCTCTCTGAGTTCAGTTGGGAGAGAGAGAGAAGGCCTAGTGTTGCGTTTGACTTTCTTTACCTAGACAAATGCCTCCTACTCCAAGGTGACCTCAGCCCCCAGACAGACCGTCCAAATTGCTTTACCTCTCACTGCTTTGCCACACTCTTCTTTCAGCCACACTAAAGCACTCTAAGTTCTTGTAGGCTCCTCTCCCTGTCGCCTCCTGATGTTTGCGCAAACTGGGTTAGGTTTTTTTGGCTTGGAAAACTCTTTTCCCCATTAATTCTTTCCCCTAGTGAACTCTTACTTCTCCTTCCGGGTTCCATTCTATCATTGTCTCCATTTCACATCGCTTTATTTGACTTTCTCCTTCAAGGTGGGTTAGAAACAATGACTTTGAACCCCATAGAACTCTGTTCCTCCCCACTCATGGTAAATGCCTGTTTGCTCGTGTCACATATGAAAAACATACTTGATGGTCCCCAAATTTCAGTGGCTCAAACAAGATAAATGTTTAATTTTTATCATGCATCATGAAGTTTGGAGATAGACTATTCAGAGCTGGGGTATGAGCTTTATGGTCAGCAGGGACCGAGGTCCCTAAGACTTTTGGCTCTGATAGCCTTAGTGTTGCCTCATGGATGCAAGATGGCTGTAGGAGTGCAAAAGGAAATGTCTGTCAGAGGAATTATCCCCTTTTAGGAAAGTTAGGGATCAACCCCTATGGCAATCAGGGAATGCCAAGAACCAGGATTGGGCATAAATTAAGAACAAGTTGGGTTGCAAAGTTAGAATGCTCCAGAGTCCCACGTCAGGCCTAAGTGGTCATCCCTGTTGTGACCAGCTGAACAGCTTTGCTAAGGCTTGAGGGAATTTCAGTGCAGAAACTGGGTGCACCGCAGGCCGACTTCAGTCATGGTCTCCTTTAAACTGCCATCTCATCTAGTCTTGGGGGGTCATGAGATAGGGTCTTCATACCTGAGACTGAGACTGATAAGAGCAGATGTGATTGGAGCACTTCCTTTCCTATCAGGGAAAAGAAAAATCTGCACATAGATTTAATAATCTTTTGCGGCTTCCTACTGGAAAAGAAATTGACAGGAGAATGACAGAATTTTCGGCATCATGCTCCTCTCTCAAAATTCTGTTTTGTGTTAGGGCCACGTTCCCCCACCCCCCACCCCCATCATCTCCAAATGCGCAGCCCTCTGCAGCCTGGCCTGCCTCTGGGAACGTTTGCTTTCAGAGAGCAAAGGCGCCTCTGCATTTTTATCTCAGAGGAGCACCCTGGGGAACCTACATTCTCCCAGTTGTTCAGATTGACCCTGCCCCTCTTGGGACTCTGTTGAATCCCACTGGCTTTGGAGAGATCAACCGCCTGGATGGCATGCAAGACCCCAGCCCTACCACCTCAGCTTGGGGGCTCTGGGAGGATAATTATGGCCCTGTCTGTCAAACTACAGTTTTATTGAAGGTTTTTTTTTTTTTTTTTAATTTGAGGAAGGAGCGCACTGTTTGAGAAACTTCCTCCCTCAGGGTGTATCTGAGGTCCGCTGGGCAGTTGTTCCTCCCTCATTCCTTACCAGGACCATCCCCCCTACTGTAAGCAAGTTCCCCAGGCCTATGCAGGACTGACTGGGCCTTCCCAGCTTGCTTTGCAATCAATAGCTCCATAAAAGGCAGATTTATTCACTGAAGTCATAGATCAATAAGACCAGATTTGCATAGAGCTCAGTATATAAATCCTGGAGTGAGGTCCTCCTTTGTCTTTCCTGCTAGCTCCTGCTCTGTCCCCCTGCTCTGTTTCCCCAGCTCAGCCTCTTTTCCGCCCTTTGCTGATTCTCTTCTCTAAAGTGTCCTTTTCTTGGGGACTCCTCCTTTCCCTCAGGTACTGAGAGCCCTAGCTGGCGGTGCACCGCCTTCCCCGACTCCTGTCCCTACATGTGCCACCCACTGCATGGTAATTATCAGTTCATTTGCCTTCATGCAGTCAACCCTGACACTCTAAGCAACCTGAGTGCAGAGAAGGTGCCTCCCTCTGGGCTCCGGACTCTGACAGCAGACCTGCCTTCTAGCAGGTGCTCATTATAGTTCACTGAATGTGTGAATCAGTGCCACACTTCTGCTTCTCCCTCCTCCCCTCTCTCCACTTTTTTCTCCTACCTTCCTCTTATTATATTCACCTCCAAAAGGTGGCTGGGAGCTGTGGAGCGAATGTCTATTCCTACAGCTGGAGCTTGTCGTAGCCCTTGTCCACTGACTAAGAAGCCACTCAGGGCAATAGGAATCTTTTGCTTGTATTGGCAATATCAGCTGCCACAGGTGTTCCCCAACATGCACCCCACCTGCTAGAGACCTCAGGAACATGGAAATCATGTGTGGCTTCCTCTCGCTTGCTTAGTGGCAGAAGTGCTGGGTGGGTCTGCCTGGGTCTATCCAGGAGATAGTGCCTCTAGGCTTTCTCCATCTTGATTTTCCATCTTGATTCAAAATTTGTAATACTTGCACCATTTCAAGAACTGATATAGTTGTTGGTTGTGTTTTTGGCAGCACGATCGTGTTTCCGACTGTTCTAACTTTCTTTTCCTTCTACAATGTTGAACAAAAGTAATCCTGGCACATTTGGGGGCTTGGCTCCATGCTACACTTATATTTAGAGATAGGTAATCTTTTCAAATAAAAATTGGCATGGATAACTGCCAAGACAAGCTCCGACATTATTTGAGATCAGAAGGAAACCTCAGGGTCCTTCCCGCATGCTGGCCAGGGGAGAGCAGAGGCCCTGGGGCTTTGTCACTGTTACTTAGCATCACAGCAGCTGCTGCCATTCCTGCAGCAGGTTGCAATGCACCTCCACGGAGAATGGAATTTGAGTCTGACGTCAACACTTGTGAGGTCATTTGCTGCACTCACATCCATCACAGGAAGTGTATTGAGGTGCTGAGATGTTACACACTTTGCCCACAGTTCCACAGCAAGGTTGCACCACCCCAAACTTCTGTTGCTGAGTTCTTTGCTATTCCCATTGTGCTATGATGTTCTGAGATGAAAAACATTCGAAAGGTGCTTGGCCGGAGTCACCTACCACCCTCCAGGCAGATGCCACGGGCTTAGCTGGTGACGTGGGAACTGTCCCTGAAGGGAGTCCACTTTTCCTGGAGCAGAAAGTCTGCTCTTGGGTTTAGGATGTACAAAGAGCTGAGCTTTGCTGTTCGCAGCTTTCCAGAAAAGCTACCAGAGTCCATGGATAGGATCTCCTTGAAACCTGTGCAGGTTGTTCCTCTTCCTGTGTATTTTCTCTTCCACGGGGCGTCCCACCTAGCACTCCTTCTCCCTTCTGCCCTCCGACTGTTCCAAAGCCCATTATTAACTGTTGCCCTGGTCAAAAATATTGTGCACTTACTCTCCTATCCCAACCTTTGCTGAAAAAGAATCTGGTTAATTAACATTGATTAGCATCCACCAACTGTAAGTAAAAATCAATTGCTGGGGTCCCTAATTTGAATGCTCGTCTTTCTCCTTATCTCACGTGAGGATGAAAGAGACAAAGGGCAGGAGAAATGGGAGAAGTGAGAAGAGAGCAGATATTTCTAAGCAGTCCAATTTCCTGGGTCCCTGGTGAGGGACATTAAGGATGTGCCGGTCCTTAGATCTTGCCCACTCTCCTTCTGTGTGGCCATTTTTCAGTGTGACGTCTAATTGCTGCAAATAGTCATTGTGCACATTTGGGCCTTGTTCATATCTCCCTCCTTCATTGAGAGACGAGTGATGGTATTGATTCCGGTGGGCCAGGGAGAATGCCAGAGAATATTAGTAAGGAGCAGAGAGAACACAGTACATAAACTTTTATGACACGATGTCAAGCTGAATCGTGAAGACATAAATGAAAAGGACAACACAGTCTGTAATTACCACAAGCCCACATCTTGCACCTGCTGGAGCCAGCAGCCTGAGCTGGCCAAGGCACAGTGCACAGGGGATGAACTGTATAGCTTGCAGGATTGGTGACCTGTAGTTGTTGCTCCTAGGTGTTCAGAAAGAAGATAGGGAACATAAAGAAAGCGCTTGTGGTAAGTCACTGTGTGGCCCAGAAGAAAGCGCATGGGATCTAGTGTTAACGTCTTCACTGAAGGCTAACAGTGTGACATGAGGCCAGTGACTTGACCCCTCTGGGTTACTGTTCTCTCACTGCCAAAACAGAAAACAATAAGTACTCTGAATGGATGATGTAAGGATTAAATGAGATAGCACATGCACACTCCTTGCATGGTCCCCGAAAAGCATGTGGCTTTCAGCAGATAGTATGTATTATAATAATTATTCATTTTTATTCCATAATTCTTAAAGAATTTCTCTTTGTTTATTTGTCTGAAAGGCAGAGAGACAAAGAGGCAGATTCAGACAGACAGAAAGAGAGCTCCCTTCTAGTGGTTCATTGACAAATGCCCCTGACAGCTGGGGCAGGCCAGGCTGAAGCCAGAAGCCAAGAGCTCAATCTGGAACAGGAACACAACCACTTGAGCCATCACCTGCTGCCACGTAGGGTGCATATCCACAGGAAGGTGGAATTTGAAGCAGAGCTGGGACTAGAAACCAGAAATTCCAACGTGCAATGTGGGAGTCCCAAGTTGTGTCTTAACCAGTAAACCAAATGCCCACCTCTCCATAAATAGTTATAGAATGCTTGTTAGATGCTGGGCATGGATTTGTGTCCCAGCTTAACACATCCTGTAGCTGATCCAAATAAACTTGAAAATGCCCCTGTAGTAGACCTTAGAGAGAAAAGACACAATGCTGTATGAGTGACTCACCCAGAGGTTTCTGTTGTTCCTGCTTTTTCAAATTCACATTTATTTGTTTGTTGTGTGTCTCTGCCACTATCACTATAATATCAGTTCTCTGAGGACAGGGACTTAAGT